TATAGACAAATAGGGTTAGCCTTGCAAGTTTCTCTAGTTTATGTTTCCTCTTGAAGATGATCACTTGGTGATCGAAACACGTGTCGAGATGTTAAAAATAATCGTTTGGTTTTGATATAAAACTCCAGTAATATTCATTACCACACCAAAAGTTCCAAACATTGCATTACAAGTAAATATTATTTCAGAAAAATTACGATTTTTATTTAGTATTGATAATACGGAATTTAATTTTCAATGCCACAGTCTTTGGCCTTTGAAGTCCACATAATTATTAGATATAATTATTATCATCATCAAAAATATACATTCTCTTCAATTTCCTTTCAAGACACAAATTCCACATAATATGAATAAAAGTAAACACCACCTGCTAAGAGTAAACAAAGAATAAAGTGCTTAAATTAGCTTTTCTTGTATCATATCAACACACACTTGTAAGTGTTAGAAATTTATGGAGTAAAATATCCATCACATCGACCGAGATAATCAGATTAAATTATTTCAAACCTACTTAGCTAAACATACGAGGGGTGTTCAAAAACCATGAGTTTTCAACACTTGGCAGGACGAAGAGCAACCGATTCAAGATTGGTTTGTCGAGGGGCGGACCGTTTTCATCCCCAAAAGCGGAGATTTGTCGAGTCCTAAGAATTAAAGACCGATAACATGCTTGAATTCGTGTAATTAGTTGTTTACAAGCATCTTATACACACGAATACCCACCGCAGTTAAACGAGTATTCGAACGGATATATGAGCAGAGAGGGTCGAAGAGAGGAGTAACGGAATGTAAAGAGAACCTTCTCATCGACAGATACGTAATGCATCACCCGACACAGTATAATCGTACTCCTCTTTGGCCTGGATCGATGAACGCATGAGTACATCTTACATTTGCTCAGATACCTTGCGGTACCCGAAAAAATAGTGAGATGCCTGATACCACTTTGGCAGACCCGCTTCACCATAACATCTAGTCAGGCTAATTTTCCCAGTGCTCTGAGCGTTTTCTACAATGAACTTCGAATAAAAAAACCTTTTATGATTATCTGAAACATATCTACAACAAAAATATATTAAATGTGTTTTGATGAGCAGAAAAAGAAATTATAGCAATAATAACATCCGAAACGAACACTATAATTGTAATGAAAATTTAAATGAAGTAATTTATATACAGAAAAACAGTAATAGCACAATAAATGTTCGAATTGGAGTCCTTCCATTTCGAGACAAATAATGGGCCAATGAGATGGCCTGCAAGATCACCAGATCGTACTATTTTGAACTATTTTCTATGGGGGACATTGAAAAATGCGATTTATGCTGGCAGAGAGATAGAAAATGTTGAAGACTCGAGATTGAGGACTTTGAACGATTTCGCAACAATGCTGCAAATAAGTGTATTAAATGCAATAAATGATATGAAAAACCGAGTTCAAAAATGTCTCGAGGAGACGAAATGAGCCAGTGTATAACAAGTTCGAGTTCCAGAATCGCAAAGTGCGTTTTACAAAATGGTGGACATTTCAAATACTCACTTCATTAATTTTCATTCACTTTCGAACAATCATTTAATTTTTCTTTCAAATTAATGATATTTTCGTTCAATTATCATGAATTAGATTTTTCTCCTCTTGAAATAAGTAAATAATCATTACTTCTTTCTTGCTTTGATTATGATACGTTCCATTCAGTTCAAGATGAGTAACTTGATTTTCTTATCGAAATGTACTGCATGGTGTTAATTTCACCAAAAGTAAATTCAATACAGATACCAAAGAAATTTGGATAAGGGTCAAAATCACCTGAAAATCAACTTTGAATGACAACATTATGTGATATACCGTTGAAATCAGCGTCAAAGTTATTTCGAAATGCTCATAAAACACGCAGGTCCGTATTGAAAAAAATGAGGTAGAGGTGGCCCAGAGAGTAAGAAACGTTGGATTCGAAATCCGATTACGTCAAAATGAAGAGAATTACCTATCGAATAAAAAATGTCTGTAACATTTTTTGATAATTTTTGAAAAAACGTAAGAAAAAAAGAAAAATCAAAATTACACAATTTACTTTCATTATGATATCTCAATAACTGGCCCTGATATTCCCTATTTGTTTGAACCACTTGACAGTGTTTCTATAAATGCAACTTTTTCTCCATTTGACCCATCTTCTACCTGTTATTGTTTGAAAGTTACCAATAAAATCCCATTAAAAAAGTGACCACGCTGTATGATTAATTACTTATGTGGTCAGTTGGCCACGTAAGTATCGGTTACAAAACGGTAGAAATGAATTGATTTTTTTTCAAATTTATGATTTGCAAATATAACACCAACTAATTGAGAAAAACAAAGAATAAATGGGTAAATGGATATCAGATAGGATCATATATACAGAAGTTCTCTGAGATGAAAATCAAATAAATCTCAAGTCAAAGTTATAATGAACTAGTCACACGATAATCTTGATTTTTTTCACAACAGATTCAAATTTGTTATTATCGGCTTTCAGTGAATCTTTCGGCTTATAGTGAATGATAAGTTTTCCAGATCCTCTAACCTTGATACGCGCTGGCCCAAATATGCCATTGGGCAGGTGTCAAATATGATATAGCACAAAAACTTATAACATGTTTCTCATCATATGACAAACTTTTATTGAATACTTTTTAAGCAGTCTGCCGATTCTCTTTACATTCCTCTCGAACTCCTAAGAACCATTACTGAAAAATGCCAAATGATTTTTGTTATTTCTTGCGCTTATTCGAAAAGATATTTTCAAAAAATGCACATTGCTACTCAAAATACAAAATTTTTCAATCTTACATTCACTAATAAATTTACCTTGATAATTTAATTACACTTCCGATCGGTATCAAATATCGTCTTCATTTTTCATCTAGGATCTAGGTAATGAGACTAGGAAAACATCACGTTTTTGAAGGATATAAAAATTTTTATGAAAATGTTTAAATTGAAAGGGGTATATTTTAGGCAAAAAGAAAGGCTTTTATTGCTTTTTCACATATCACTTTATATAAAAAAGTGGGAATCTTCCAAAGAAAGGAAGAAAGCAATTCATTTCAAAATAAACTATGTACAAAGATGTGCATTTCATGCAAATAAGTAACTTTCAGACACAAACTGAAAGAAAAATTCCTCTCGAAACAACTACTTCCATATATAAACAATGAATTACACGAAAGAAAAAATAATTATTTTTATTAGTCAATTGATGAAGCGTTTATTTCTCATAAAAATGTTATTTCATTAAACAAATAACACGAAAACTACTCACCACAATAATTTTAAAAACTGTTCAAATTAGTATACACACTACTGTCGAATCTAGCGAAATGATCGTTTTATTCGTAACTGTCGACTTTTCCGAAAATATTTCCGATGGGTGTTCCAAATCCTTATTACTGTAAGATGTGGCAAAGCTCACGGTAAGAGATTAACTAGCTCTACTACAGTGTAAAGCCAAACATTTAAACGGTATCGATATGTTGTCAATCGAAGAACTGGAGCCTGGAGGATTTTTTTTTACCGGCTTGATAATGAATTTCGCCGGTTAAAAAGCCCGTAACTTTCAAGCAGTCTCTAGATCAATCGGATAATTTATAGAAAAAGTTTGCATCTTCCTGACAATTTATAGTATTCAGTGTCTCTATTTCTTGGCTTTGGGGGCTGTGGATTTTCGGAATTTCTTCCTTACGTTTCGTTGGCGGGAGTAGCTACCTTCTTCAGAGGTTTATATACACCCTAAGTTAATATCTCAGGTGACTAGTATAACATTAACAATAGTTTATTATATACCGAGCATTTTTATATCCTGAGGCGCGTAGCGCCAAGGGGTATAATGTGCGAGGTAAATAATAGCTTTCTCAGCCGAGGTATACAGGGTCCTGCAACAGTGGCGCGGGGTTCCATATCTCTATTTAGGAAACAGATAGGAATCTAAATTTCTATAATATTAC